ACTATTTTAAACCCAGATAGTTTATCTAGTACAGAATTAAAATAATGGCTAGATGGGAATCTGTGATGCATTACAATATGCTTGAAACTAAAGAAAATAGGACATGTGATAAATATTTGAGCAGTATGTGTTTGGCTATTACATTTTAAAAGACTGAGTAGATAGATATACACCATGTAATGAGTAATTAAAGCACAGAATATGCTCATTTAAATTACATCATGCTCAGCCTATAGCTTTGTATGTTGCAGATTAGTTTATGTGGCATGGTTTCAAATCTCTGGGCAGGCAGTCACACTGGTGATTGTACATTTGGTTTGCTCAGGAGCTTATCCGCACAGAGGCAGCTCACCTGTAGCAGCAGCAGTCCCTGGTTTGATGCTGAGCCCAAATCAACACTGTGGATGTGGTTATGCAACGCTCTCCCTTTCCCTTAAAGCCACAGTTCTACACTTTTTGCCCAATGTTAAAACGTGTCATACTGCAAGCAAATACAAATACTAGAAATGTAACAATAACCGAAATATCGTCAATTGTCAAATGTCTCAATCTAATATCGAAGACCAGCAGAGTATATCAAATTACAAGGCTATTTGCTTAAATTCATTGTTTTGGTACAGCAACAGCTAAAAAATGGATGGAACTACATAGACCATGAGCATTTGCTTTGTTTCAGTGCAGATTACACTTTTAAATCTTAGTTCTTTGGATTATGACAGAACTAAAGCCTTGGAAAGATAAATATCATACGTACATCATGGACATATTGTATCAAAAGATTCAAATATCATCACATCCCTAACAAATACAGATGAAACAATGTGATCCTGATCCTGCCAAAATATGAAACAATATGTTATTCTTGCCACATAAACTTAAACTGGATTCTGCATTTTTATTTTATTTTATTTTATTTTTTTGTCAACAAGAGTGTTAATGACACAGCTGTTGAACTGAATGTGCATGTCACTAATAAAACAAACAACTATTCTGAAGCAAAGTTGTTGTGTCAACCAGGGGTAGGGTTTATAGCGGATATAGTAGACCATAAAGTGTGTGTATCGTAAATGAAGAAGAAGAGAGAAGAAGTGAAGAGCAAGCATAGGCTGCTAAAGAGAGTGGCTCATAAACAGGAGCAGAGGTTGCACTGCTTTTCTGACATGTAATAAAAGAGCAATAAGATCCGGACAGCGTATTATTCTGTCTGTGTTTACTTAATGACTTTACCATATAATAAGACCCTTATTATAAGAGTTTGCATTTGTTCTTCCTTTCCAATATATTGCTCTTTTAGAGGAAAATGCATTATGATACAAATGGATCCAACATAACAATAAGCCACCTTACTATGATGCATTGTCCTGTCAGTCTTGCAAGGGAACACATTATTTTAGTTTTACTTTATGTATATTATGTGATATCACTTCCCTGATCTACAGCCTTAAATAATAACATACAAATAGTGTAATCAAGTTTTTCCTTCTGTAAACTCTTCACCCATGATGATCCTGAGCATAAGTTGTACCACTTCCACTAACAACAAATATATAGTACCTATTCTAACTCAGGGGTCTGAGTCCTGTAGCCTGGGAGCTACCAGTAGCTCTCCACCCCCTTCCAAGTAGCTTATCAAGGGATTTCTGAATTATACATATTGTGCTGAATAACTAAAATCTGATTATTTACCATTGTAAATGTATCATTTTAATGCCGAAGTTCTGCACTAATGAATCCATAATGGTTTATGTTTCAGAAGTTTCTAACTGCACCCCATCTAAGGCTTGCCATGACTCTTATACTTTCTCAATTTCTTGCGACTGCTAAAATTAGTAGCTCTTCTGCATTTTTGTTTGTTAAAGTAGCTCAGCATAAGAAAAAGGTTGGAGACCCCTACTCTAGCTGAGAGCAAGTCTACACTCCCAGTCAAACGCATGAAGCAACTTATTATTTAGGTAGAGGTGATTAAATTTGTTTTATTATATTCATAACAACAACAGTAACAAGAGATTACATCACCTATTCTTATTTAACAAAGGATGTTTACGTGTATGTGTTTACGTGCACTATTTGATGCATTTGCAAATAGTGGCAGGAAATATAACCACATGCAAAAGCGAGTTTATTAATTCTGCTAAGAGTAATTCTGCTCTATAATGTGTAAACCTGAATATTAAATTTTTAAGTACATCAGTAAGTAAATATGTAAATGTATTTTAAGTGTGACTAACGGAGATGTAACAGTGGCGATATCTACAACTATAGTTATTGCAGTTAACTCTAATGGTGGATGCTTGGATAGTGAGCAGTGCACCAATATTTGTTTATGCATGCTCCTCATTGTAACCTGTTATAGGCACAGCTGTCCTGGGGCTGACTGATAGAAATGTGGCTGCCAATATATAACTATAGGTCAATAACCAATATGTCTGTCTAAGCCTGTCATGATAATTACCATACTGACTTATTGTTCAATACATGACAGATAGAACAGTAATTTTGAGGTGGTCAATATTTATGGTGAGTACTTTTTCTTTGTACTTGTGGGAATATTTGGTTATTTTTTTCTAAAAGGTTGAAGTATGAACAAACTAATCTAATACAAAAGTGTTGCATTCTGATGTTTGCATTGCTGCTCATGTTTTAGTGCACATTTAGAATACTTTTTGGTTGATAATTCTGCATCAGTAAGCAAAAGTAAGTAAGTTTTTAATTTATATAGCGCTTTTCACAGACATATATCACAAAGACGCTTTACAAATCATTATTCATTCACTCTGCTTTATGGTTTGGTTTCAGTGTTATCGTTTATCGTCTGTATTTACTTCAGTAATATATTGTACTTCAAAATGTATTATTGTGACAGGACTACATCTGACTACTCACTCGCACATCACAATTACTCCTAGCTGGGATCGAACCACCAACCAGAGCCCCTGCATATATCTAACAACTTTCATACCAGATTCCTCTCCTGACAAATTTCTCTCATAATAAGTGAGTGAGTTGGCCTGAAGTGCAGTATATAGATTAAGTAAATATAGACAATAATATTGAAACCACACCATAAAGGCCAATTATACTCAGAAAAACATAATCTAAATGTATAAAATTGCTAAAAAAAAAAAAAAAACATAAACTGCAATCAATAAATAACAGAATGTAACACTTAAGTAGTTCATTTGTATCTATAAAGAGTCATAAAAGTTCATAATTCAACCTTCTACAGTTCAAATCTCATTGCAGACAGCAAAATAACCAAAATGTTCCCTATAGTGCAAGTAAAAAGTAGCCACGATAAATACTGACCACCAAAAATGATTGTTCCATCTCATATTGAACAAAAGGTCAATATAGTATTCATCGTCACAGGCCTAAGTGACTGAGACATTATCTGCAGACTGGTGTGTGTGAGCTGGAGTTGACATACAGAGATGTGATGGCTCAGACCGGTGGATGGGAGCACAGGGGTGGGGGAGAGGAGAGCTCCAGTGCTGTTGCCGTGGGTGCATCAGCAGTATAGGAATTGTTCTGTGGCCTGTGGGAGCCATCTGACTGTTCTGTCACCTCCCAAAGGCTGACACAGGCTGCCAGCGCCCCGCCCCAAGCCCCTAGATCCACATGGCTGATGTTTAATACATATACACGGCGACAACTGAGAGCACCCTGGGAGAAATGTGAGTGGCGGGGAGAGGAGAGGGCACAGCGACCAGAAAAGGAAGGACCAGTGTGTGGAGTGTATGAGTGTGCGTGGGAGGGCTCTGATCATAAAAACCTAACATCCATTCAGCAATGTCAGAAAATAAAAGTTTATTAAGACAGATTATTATAGATTGTTTAAATAAGGCTAAGGGTAATTTGCAATACTAATCAAAGTCACAACATGCATCTTGACCAATTAAAACAACCAAAACAGTATAAGTTCCAGGCCTACAGTCTTCTTGCCAAACCTGACCCAAGAGGAATATACTCTATGTTAAAACCCATGTCTTTACCAAACTCATATGAATGTATAAGTGTGTGTTTTAAAAGGTTAGACTTAAATGAAGTTTAGGTAAGTTAATAGTTGTAATGGTTATAAATTGGAGCAGAATTTTGGGTGGTCATTTTAAGAAGAGTCTGGGCATCACTCACCAATAGCCACCCCCTCCAGCGTCAGGGGTGACCCTCCTGCTAAAGTCAACACTGTGAGTTTAATGAGGTGAAGTACACGCACACACGCACTCCATAGGTGGGTACCCCGGCTGCATAGTAAGAGGATTTCATTCATCGACATGCACTGAGCACGCTTCAGCTATAGCCCCGTGCACTCTGCACACTCTCACCTCCACCCACACCTGCAGCACCACGGCTAGTGCGTCACGTGGATTATTACAGGTGCGAAATCCTGCCTGCTGCCATCTTTTTCTCATTTCACAAATCATTGCAGAAGAGGAGCTTCCCTTCATCTCCAGGATAAACGAACATCTCGCTGATAAGAGTCCATTTCCACATGCCTCTCCTCTCGTGAAGCCTATGCCAAACAGTTCATCATCTCTGAGTCCATAATTAATCAGGCCCGCTGCGAAAGTAGGACTGGTTCCTTTCCCTTATCACACAGAGCAACCCACGCCCTCCAGGCGATCAGTGGATTATAACGATGCGTGCGTGATAGGCAGCCCCCTACAAAAGCGATATTAATTAGGCTCTGTGTCCACAGCGAGCAACACATGTCCATTCTAATCAAAACTTCAAAAGGAACACGATCGACCCTAAGATCACCCAGCGCACCCCGTGAATCCGCTACACGTTACAAAATCGCTTTGCAACTGACGCTATTGGTGGTGCATGCCAACTTCCATACATCACTGACCCTTTACGCGACTCCGCACGCTGGGCTATTGCCTACTATGCAACCTATGAATGATTGATCAGACAGGTGGGATCGACTTGAAGCCATAAAGAGGGCGGGAATTTTGGGACCTACGCTGCCTGCGCGAGTGTGATGGGTGCAGGGTACTCACCACCTCCCAGTGCGTTAGAGGAGCATCACTGTCTTTTCACGACCAGCTCTTAGGATGAGTTCTCCTGGGACAGTGCGTCTCCTTGGTCCACTCTATCATTCTTTGCAAAGCGTCGGTCTCCGGTCTCCTCACAGCCTCCCCTCGTCCCTCGCGCTTGGCATCACATGTGGGCGCAGCTGCATGTCATGTAGACTGGAGCTGGGATTGTGCTGGTTGTTTTGGGGCTGCAGCGGTCCGTGTCGCGGGTTGAGAACACAAGTGGAAGCGGCAGATTTCTATTTGAGGCGATGCTGACGCGCTCTCGGAGGGGCTCGCCTCTCGCCTTTCTCATCTGGCTCCAATGCCATCAGCGCCTGCATAGACTGAACCATGTGACTGCATAACTGTCAGAAAGCAGAGGGCAATAACATGCATTTCCGGTGACAAGTTCAATTATTAAGAATATAGAGCTATGCAGCACATCAAATAGGCTTGACGAATTATGTCATGAATACACCTGTCTTTAAAAAAACGGCTAAACAATGAACGAGGAATATAGACTAAGCGATGCTTTAAAACAGTGAATGTAAAACATGACCTCATCCATTTTTTATCAAAACCTATAGAATATTATCCATCCGCTCTCAGTGTACTGGGATAATTACAACTATTTAGTACATTGAAGTCAGTGAATTTTATTGTGAAGGAATTATGCCTTTTCCCATCATCTGCACTGACACTGTCTCACTTTATGCATTTGTAAAGCAGCTCATTCAATTGAATTTAAATCGACCTGACAGAACATCGCCCTCTAGCGATAGATTGTTATACAACTCTAAATTATCCAGGGAGAAATACAGCTCTGAATACTTTCTTAAACAAAAGAGAGTGAATAATACATTGTTTACTGTTACAGATTTTAGAAATGCATTTTATTCTTATTGACATTGTTTGTTCAAAAATACTCATAGAAATGCAGATAGAGTTGTAGCTGAAGGCACATGCATGATCCTTAAACTTTTATGAGAGAGGCCTAAATAAAGACAGCAGCTCAAAGTCAGTGCTGGAGGCTTCAGCAGGAGCCAACTCTATGTCCATAAGTTAAAGCTTTAGTTTACGTTATGGATATATGTGTCTCTTATATTCTTTTATATTATCATGCTCCTCTAAAATAGTCTAATGGAATATAAATGAATCTCCATGGTGACTTTAAGCTACAAAATCCAGTTCAGGGGCTAGTGCATGTATTGTCAAACCAAAAGATTAGCTCCTAAAAAGGGACTATAGGACCTTTTGAAAGGGGATAAGGCAGTGTCCCATTGGCACTATTGTTGTCCACGTTGCAGACTCTTCAGTCTTGTCTCCACAAAGCAGGTCTCACAGCAGAGCGCGCGGTTGCCCCGTCACTTCACATTAGTGTCGGAGGCAGAACAGCGCCCCCAAGGCCCCGGACCCACTGTCAGAAGAGTGTTCACGGCCCACATACACAATCAGACGCTCTTTAAGGACTTTTGGGCAAAATGGGATGCACGGTGAACCCCATTAAGCCTGAGAACCTAAGTTCAATAGTGACCTCATTCCAGTCTCTCCTCTGCACCACCCACCCACACACACACCACCACCATCATTTTACAACATGCTCAAATACATGTTCTCATTACAAATGCAGCTGTGAATAAGGACTTCATGTGCACGTGCTTATGCCGATCCTGGTGCTTACTTGGGCCATGGTCTATTATGGTACTACAACTCACACTCAATGGCCTCTAACTGTGATAAGTGTCCTGTCTCATGCAGCCGTGATCAAACTCTTATGGCCCGAGAAGATAGAAGTGTTTCAGTATAATAAAATCTATAAAATAATAAGGTTCTATATTGCACAAAATTTATATATTTATTATATTTTTTGTCTGTCTACATCTCCAAAGCTCAAAATGCTCTGTTCCTCCTTGTGATGTGATGTAGTAGTTTTTAAGTTAACAGCTACTTTTTACAATTTAATAGAGATTGACCATTTTGGAGCTGAAATTATCCCAATGATTCCAGTGAAGATGTATGGAGTTTAAAAACACAGTGGAGCATTTCCTGTATTACAACATCACATCAAAAGGTAGAACAGAGTGTTTTCAGTTTGAGAGAAGAGCTTTGCCTAAATATACAAAATTTGTGTGTTAAACATGTGTGAATGAAACAAAACACAACTCCAAGTCTGTTTGTGATGAAGCAACATCATAACATCGATCAGAAAATTGTGTAATATATGCATTTAAGATTCTAACATTACTTGTGGAGCTCAATCCTGCAAAGAACGAAAAACATAAGCACATACAATATTTGCTGTCTGGGGTATTGTTATAAATCTCTCACACATTATGTCAAGAAAGACTGATTTTAGCATAAATTATAAGTTTTCTCTGTGGCTCAATACTCTTGTCTCTGTTTTTTTTTTTTTTTTTTTACAGTGAAGCTCATTTTGGCTTGGAAAAGTAGTTTAAATACAGCAATGCATGCTTAAAGCTGCACTATAACTTTTCTGGTGGAGGGTCCGCCACTTGCTTCTCTCAAGGACTTGATATTACTTTCCTATGAACTTTCCACAGACATTAAACTTATCATGACTGTATTCATTTTTTACACTTGTTATTATTGCTAAAAATGTTCTAGATAGGTTAATGCCACACTATGGAACATTCTGGGTAAAGCAACAACATCTCCATGGTGACAAGAAAGAAGCATCTGATTTTTGTGTTAGTATTTATAGCCTACTATGGTTAGTTAGACAGGCCACAGTTTAAAATAGCATTTGTATTTTGGTTATTTCAAAACCATAAACCACTAAATTATATGGAGCTTTTTTGCTTTTAAAAATACGGTAACTTAAATAGTAGTGTTGTTACATAGTTACAAGAAAATAATTAAAGTAAAAGTTAAAGATGTGTTACTAATCTAGAAGGATTACAAAAAGTAAATAGAAATGTGATTTACCGTGTGCCTTTCTCTTTATATCAGCATTAAAAGCCACATAGTGTGTCATAGTGTGTTGCCTCATCACAGACAATGATTCACATAGATTCATGAGACGAGGTTTAATTAGCCTACAAATAAACTATAGGATAATACAGTGACTTGGCCTTCCTGAAAAGTGCCCAGTTTGCATGTCAGCATGTGGCCGTGTACGCCCGGAGGTTATTTTTGGAAAAGGGGGAGGAGCAGCCCAGTCTCAGGTGGGTTCATGGTTTGGAGGAGTAGTCAGGAGAGAACATTGTCTCTTAGCCGTGTGGAGGATAGCGTGATGAAATGAGATCTGAAGTCTATCTCCTCTCAGCCTGCAGATGACTGAAAGATTTATTAAGGTGGTTAATAAGGAAAACCCCATTACGCTGCTTGGACTGCACTGCAACAACAGGCACGATTACTAACAACAGATCTTTGAAAGGAGAAGATTAAACTGAAATGATTTCTGTGCAGTAGCCAGTTGTAATAGTAGGCTTACAATCAAATTAGTCCACTAATACTCCAGCTATGTGGCCATATGCTTTGAGTTGAGACCTAGATCAAAATAACTGTGGTTAAAACAAATCTGAATTAAAAAGATGCCCAATATTTGATCTCAATTGTAGACTAATTGTTTGCTTTACAATTGAATTTAGAAATGCGAGGCGTTTGCTTCATTTTACCAGAAGATGGCGCTAGTTCTGTAATGTTCTGTAATGAATGTCTTGCTTTATCTTTCCCATATACTAACTCAAATTAGGTTTTCAGCTTTCTTCTTATACACGCAGATAAATGATATGCTTTCATGTAGAAAAAATACAGGCAAGCCTAAACATGACTCTTGATTGTGGTCTGTTTTACTTAGATAGGCAAATGTTGGCGCATGTTCTTAGTTTATTGCCATGGTAATAAATTGCCTTTGTTTTAGCGTTCTCACTTTAATTGCTATCTCTTGTCACGTGCCTTTCTAGTCATGCTTCAACAAACACAGACAGCATGTGGACGCTGGATGACGTTTTTCCCTCTATCCAGCCCCAGAAGGGCCACCCCCACCCGCCGCTCCCCACCACACACCCTCCTTGTACTCACCGGCTCCAGAACCATCCCAGTCAGCCAGTCACCTCAAGTGCGCCCGGGTGCGTGGAGCAGACGGTGCCGCGGAGCTCTGATACAGAAACAGCAGACAAAAGCGAAGAGAATGGGACTACAGCCTGTGAATCTGGACCAAGCCTAAGTTGGATCAACAAAGCAAGAGGTCCTAAGCGTAAACCTTTATAAAGTAAGAAAAGCACGTTGTTTGGTTCACAATGGGCTGCTGTAGCGGACGATGCACTCTCATCTTCATCTGCACTTTACAACTGGTGAGTAACCAATGGCGATATAAAAACCTTTATAACATTGTAAAAAGTTATCTAGAATTCTTTTTGTTTGCATTGCTTAAAGCTGTCAGTGATTCTTAAGCCTGAATGTTTTATTAAGGTATGTATTATAAGATACTAATGAGAGGATTAGGTTTAATGTGAATTCAAATCACTGTTCTGCCTATTCTGTTATGGCTTCACTTCTATAATAATTAATTATTTATTATATAAGATTTATTATCAGTGTGACATTTGTTTGAGTTTTATACAGGGTGAGAACACTAGAACACAAGATCACTATAAGCTTATTATATTTTTTAAATGTTCACAGTTTTCTGTAAGCCTGTATTTGTTCGCAGTCCACAGTGCATCCTCTGTTTGTCTAGACTATGCTTGTCTCCTAATGTAAAGCACTATCCAAGTGTTATGTGTTATTATAAGATGCCAAAGTTTGTATGATGTATTGACAGTGACCATCCACTGTTTGTCTGCTTTGATGTTTGGCATTTGGGATTTTCCGCCTTTTCCACCAACTTTCAACATTTCAGTGTCTAGTGCCTCTTTAATATGGAAGAATAATGACTTATTAGTCAGTGTGCTTACGGTGACAGACAGTTGTGGGACACTGTGCCCTTGATGCATCCCAAATGTTACACCGTTCCCTTTTACGTTAATAATGCATTTTTGCTTTTCTGCTGTTACAAAAGTTACAAGCGGGACAAGCAGACTTAATGTTTAAAGTTATTGTCCTATTATTTATTTGGATGCACGCTGCCTTCACTTACACCAACAATTACTTTATTTTATTATCCATTTAATTAATTTCTTTTTAGACTTAGACTAGACAGATGTATTCAGACATGATCGTATTTGTGAGCTTTTGAATCCTACAGCAGAACCTACACCTAAAATCAGTGGTGTGTGGACTGTGACATTTAAGTAGATAGTAGCTTTGCTGTGTTGCATTAAGCTTCCATTGACTGCACAGAGCAGCTTGCCTCTGTCACTACCCATGAGTAGAGTTTACTTGACAGGGTGTGACAATGTTATTTATGGTGGTATTAAAACTGAGCTTGCTCACAGAAGAAGCCCTGCAAGTAAATGCCACTTCCAACAGCTCGGAGGGGCCGTAAAACCTACCCCAACACAAAGAAGTTAATAAAACGTGCGAAGGTTTTTCTATAATGCATGAGTTGCATGGAGAGTTGTGATGATATAGGAGTTACTTAAAAGCTCACACACACAGAGAGAGAGCAATGTGAATTTCATCTTCTTCATTTAAACCAGGGTTTTTCATTATGTTGCAAGCCATATTTAATGAAAGGATCATCTCAGATTTTTGTCAATCAGACTGTTTGCTGCCTCTAGGCTAAGAAACCCATCTCTGCTATTTGTAATTATAATAGTGACTAGTGAAGGAAGATTACCTGCATTTAAGTTAATGCATTCAGACTGGGGCTTACGGTCAATATTGGATTCTCTTTTTGACAAAATAAGCTTAATGGACAGGCATTTATTGCATTGTGGAGACATTGTGGGGACAAAATCATGCTTCCATGATGTAAATGTATTATTATTAGATCTACAATTGAAGTTAAGATATAGGTTTAGGTTACGGTTAAGGTTAGGCAAGTTTCAGGTATAAGGTTAGGTTCAGATTCCAGGAAATGAATGTAATATAATAAGCAAATAATGTCAGCAAAAACATGGAAACTCATTTGTATGCGTGGTTTTTCTGACTGATAATGTCGGTCAGAAGGGAGTTTTAGCAATATAAATATAAGCTTACATATTAGTACTGATATGTAGTGTATTTTAGGGCCGTTTATATGAAGAGGAAGTGAACTCACCTTGAGGGTCACACCTGTTTTCCCTTCAAAGTCCTCATACCTTTTTGCCTCATTAGAGAGAAGGAGGTCGGCCATTTGTTAAAGACTTTATTAAGCTGTCAGTGGGCTGCCTAAAAAGTCCCAGAAGACTCCTAGAAACTGCATTATTTCCCCCCTGAGATACTATTTCTGGGCGAGCTGACATTTCGTCTCCGCAACTAAACCCACATGAGGGGCTAGACCTGCGCAGTCTCACCTCTCCAAAGGTTACAGGGCGTTTGTCACTGCGCAGGTGTTTGTGTATGTCCATATGAATAAACATGTCACCCTTTGCACCAGGCACAAGCGACCACCCTCCCCGTCCCTTGACCTAAACCTATGCATTGCCAATGAGCCCGACTATTCCCCCGGTCCATTACAGGCTAAAACTACCATTAACAAAACAACATGCCCCGCTGCTCAGATGTAAAAATAACCCATGTGAACCGCTAATTATCCAGACAGAGTGCTTTGATCAAACGTCCTTTGGCATCTCGACCATCCTCTAATTGAATTGTGGTGTGCTTTCCTCATCAACAGGCCTTAGCGGTGCATGGGGCGCATCTCTCTGGGACAGAAGGCAGCCCGTAATGAGCCCCTATTGATTGAGATGCCTTGGTTATTGCTCGCCTTTGTAGCCTAACTATTCCAGACAGTGGAGTTGGATGGATGACAGAATCTCAATCAGCTACCAGACAATGAGCAAATCTTGGATCCGAGCCGTACTCTGTCTGTCTGATTGTTGGTGGTATACAGGAAAATCATTGAGGTGTTTTTTGTTTGAGTTGGTGACCGTAAATTGACCCTCCAATGAGTGAGGTGTTCATTGACATACTTGGGGTTGGTGAGACACTTAAAGCTGGAAAATATGATGGAATATTACTCAATATAATTTTTTATGTTGCATTTTGTGGGATTAAAGGTGCACTGCGCAACATTACTAGTGGAGAGTCTGCCACCGGTTTGTCTCCATGGGGATGTTATTGCCTGTATGACATTAAACATTTCCAAATTTGTGTATCGTTCCTTCATTTGTTTTTCAAAATAAAACCAAAATAAGACTAGAAAAGCACTCAGAGAGCGCAGACCTCCGCCAAGGACTACCCCCATTTTTTATATAAATTGCGATAAAATCAGTCTTCTGGATCAGATCCGGATCAGCCTTTGAAATATGAAAGAGGATCCCATTGTCCATCCCTGAGTCAAATTTCATGGGGTTTGGTCAATAATTAATCGAGATATTGAGAAACAAAATTTTTGGCCCCATTTACCGCAATGTTAACTAAAATTTCAAAGTGATCCAGAATCCAGGATTTCTTCCAGATCACCCCCAAAATGAAATCAGTTCTTCCTTTTCACATGTCCAACAAATCCTGAAAATTTCATCAAAATCGGTCCATAACTTTTTGAGTTATGTTGCTAACAGACAAACAAACAAACAAACAGACAAACGCCGGCAAAAACATAACCTCCTTGGCGGAGGTAAAAATGGATAACAATTAGTTTTTTCAGTTTTTGATTTTGTGTTTAAATGAATAATGTAAAAAAAAAACGGTAACGGCCATGTCCCATTTCCGTGACTTAAACTGCAATGCCGAACTTTTGTGCCACATATGGAATTAACCAGGACTGAACCAGGATTAAAACAGGACTAAAATAGGACTAAACCAGTCTCAGTATCGGTCTGGTCCCAATCATATTCCTGGTCTGGTCCTGTTCTGATTCCGGTCTCAGTCTTGGTCTCAGTCCCGATTTGGTCCTAGTCTGGTCCTGGTCTCAGTCCTGGTCTGATCCCAGTCTCAGCCCTGGTCTCAGTCCCGGTCTCAGTCTCAGTCTGGTCCTGGTCTAAGTCTTGGTCTGAGTCCCAGTCTCAGGATGAGTCTGGTCCTGGTCTCAGTCCTGATCACCCAACAGTCTATGCGACACTCAGTCCCGGTTTAGTCCTGGTGTAGTCCTGGTGTAGTCCTGGTGTAGTCCTGTTTTAGTCCTATTTTAGTCCTGGTTCAGTCCTGGAATCAGTCTGTATGCGGTGCAAAAGTCCAGCATCACAGTTTAAGTCAAGGAAACGTTATTCATTTAAACACAAAATCAAAAACTGAAAAATCTAATCATTATCCATTTTTTCATTTTGGTTTTGGAGACAAATCATGAAGAAAATAGTTGTTTTGTCATTTTCTTATTTTTGGTTGTATTTTGAAAAACAAATGAACGAATGATACACGGATTTATTCATCTATAGCTTTTATTCATTAAGTATCTGAATTATAATGTAGCTGTAACAGGCTTGTCTCCTTTGCGTTAGATAGGTTTAATCCATACTCTGGAACATTCTAGGCAAAGCAATAACATTCCCATGGAAACAAGCAGGTGGTGGGCCCTCCACTTGAAAGGTTACATAGTGCTCCTTTAAATCAAGAGGCAGGGTCAGGACCACATCACTGTAGTAGTACCAATAGCACCATCATTGTTACATTCATTATGAACTTCAAGAGATTTTTTTTTATAAAATACAAACTTTGTAGCAAATACTTCATACAAATTTGAGCATACTGAGAACCTCCCAAGAAAGTTTCAGCAACAAAGTACGGACTGTGTTAACACTTGTGGGCATGATCTTGAATCACACCATCAAAACATTGGGGTTATTACACTTGATGATTTTGTACTCTGTCCTGCTGAGTCATTTCGTTATTCATTATTCAGTTTTACATATTGAGTCAATCTCTCTTAGAGCTTCTAATCTAGATATGTTAATTCTGAAATAAAATCAGTATAACACACATTATTTTATCACACCAAATTTATTCAGAATACAGTTGCTCTAATGTGCAAGTTTTCTGGCACATTAGAACAACTGTTTGCGGCACAATTAAGGCTAAAAGCTGAAAAAGTCCAATTCTGTCTTTTGCATTGGAGGTTTTAGTGCTGAAATTACTAGTGTATTTAAGATTGCGAGAGGCCCACAGAATGCTTGTCTATTTCCCACATTGCCACAGTATCTATGTTTTTGTTTTGTTTTTTTTCTATTGATTGAACTTATTAAATGCATCTCTGTGATCAATGATAATGAAGTGTTTCCTTGGCAGTGCCAGAGTGATGGAGGAGATGGCTTTAGGGAGGACAGTGGTTGGT